GTCAAAACGTAAGCATTAGTTACCTTCACATTTTAGTATTCAACCCTTTAACTACCAGACCAAGGGAAAATGAGCAATATATACAACCAGATATATTCATAAAAGATTATAAATTATAATTGTAAAAAAGGAAAAAAGTAATGTTAAGTGAATAGAAAAAGATTTGCTCATCTTACTGTATATGCTGAATTGGCCTAACAAGAAACCACTGGCCTAACAGCAAATGTCTATATCCTGTGTTGGCCTAAATTGCTCATCTGTGTGCAATTTTGGGCTGTATGCCATGCATGAAAGGGGCTATATAAATTATTATCACTCTTTCACTCTGAGACTCATAAGGCAATACTCGATTTAGTAATATTACCATGAATCTAGCTATTTATTTACCATATTTTATTGGAAAACATCTCTGAAACTCTGAAAAAGTCATATTGCTAGTTTACCATAAAAAGCCAATTCGACCGATTGATTGGTTGAGCATATTTTCAAAAAATGAATTACACCCTTGTTAAAACTTTTTTTGTGCATCAAGTTATCTAATTATGTTCAGTCAGTGCTCTGACACTAAAATATGTCAAAAATGATATAGTTACCTTAAAAAAGTTGACCCAAAAGAGTGATTTTGTCAGCAGTGATTTTTAGCATGCCAACTTTCTCAGTGGAAGCTAGCTGAAGGGCATTCTGTTCGAACCACAGTGACATCTAGAGGTTGTTTTGTGCATAACATGTCAACCAAAGGGTAGAGCTGGCTGAATCAGATGGAGTTAAACTTTTTTATTTTATTTTTCAACAAGATATCAAGACACAACATGTGCTCTACCAAATGGTGGCGTTGGCTGTTAAAGGGTTAAATCCTTTTACACCTTTTAACTGCATTACTCATTTTTTGTATACCATACAATCTTTGCGTGTCTAATGTAATCTTTGTGTGTCTAATGTAATCTATGATCTTTTAAACCACATTACATATTTTATCACAAGAAAACAATTATTCAAGCACAATTATTCAAACCCACACTCAAAGAGAAAAACCTCAGCTCAAATCTCCAAAACAGCTCTGCACCCAATTTGCAGATCAACTTGGCACTTTTTGCAAAACACTGCACACAGTTCTCGAAGTAAGACACAGAAATCTGACATATTCACTTGTTTGCCATTTTCAAAACACTGCCATTAAAAATGCTACACACATGAACCAATTAACAAATACACGTGCCAAATGACCATAAACACCAAACTGCTTTATTGTTGACTCAGAAATCAGGATGTAAGCACTAGAAAAAGGCTTCATGTAAGACATTTGTAAAAACAACAATGGATATACAGTATGGACAGCAGCAAGAGGAAGAGGAAGAGGGAGGATAAGAGAGAGGGAGGATGAAGTGAAGTCAGTTGAAGAGTTATTTGCAGCACAACGTTTGGAGCTGTGTGACCGTCAGGCTGCAGGTGATGCTTCTTCTGCAGGTGGATGAGGCGCTGTGGTCAGACCCAGTGAGGTGGTAAAATGCTGGCTCAGTATTTTCTTTTCTTGTATTTATTTTTACTCAAAGTTTTCCTTTCACTTTACTGTATTTGACAAAGGCATCATTTGTGTTTACACAACTGTAACTGTGTGTTGTGTAAGAAAGTTGCACCAATTTGTTTTGGAAAAAAACAAAAGTATAACAACTGTATATTTGTGTTTCTGCACATATTTTTGTAGACTTGAACAATCTCTATATGCAGAATTCTCTACATGCGCAGATCACCATAAAATATGAGTGTGCTTTAGAATGAGCACCACAGTGTGTAGTAGGTTGGACAAAGTGTCTTGTACTATAAGTGAAGTGTGTGCCATTTGGTGCAAAAGTTTGGTTTATGTAGTTTTGGGTGCAGTGCTTCATTTTGCAAGATATATGAGGTGTTTTGCACTTTGGGTGTGTGGTTTTGTGAATTATGTTCAGTGTTTTGACAAAATGAGCCCTGTTGTCAAAAAACGTGTTTTAGCAATTGAAAAAATCTGTAACAGGGTAAAATGTCTCACTGTCATAAATCATTTCAAATGAAGTTCAATAATTTGCGGATGGGAAATGACAGAACGCTGTGATTGGCAAACACCCTAAAACAATGTTATCTTCCTCTCAACTTACATTAAATCTCCCCCAGACCCCCTTCATTGCTGATCCTCAGATTAATGTTTCAGGTCTGCAGAGGTTTCATCACCCTTTGCTGCTGTGTGAAGTAGCTTTGCCCTACAATTACACTCTCATTACTTGTTGAATTGTTCAATAACAACTTTATGAAATAGTATCCTTGAGCAAGCAGACCCCTCACTGATGGAGATGTTTATACTAATTCTGGATCAAATTACTTTCACAATATATATGTTACACTGCTAGCCACAGAACATTTACAGCAAGAGCTTAATTTAAAATGACTGTATACTGAAAGAAAGAGGAGTTTCAGTAATGCAGGGATGCAAACATGTCACCTTTCGGCGAAATTCGCCGTTTTGAATCGAAAATAGGTCGTTTGTGTGATTCATGTAGATCTGCAATAAAAATATTTTTGGGGTATGGGGGGAGTCTGGGACCCGGAGTAATCTGCGGCCGCGAGCTGTTATGTGCCATCATGACACGCATGGTGTTCTTTTTTTATATATTATAATGAAGCGCGAGCTGTGTGCTCGAGTCTTCCTGCCTGTCGGCTCTGCTCATGGATGTATAATAAGGCTCTGCTGCTCCGGGATGAGGGTCTAGCTTCAGCAGCTACATTACCTAGGCTACGGTGCGTTCGTTAATATTAACTGTGCGGTCCGGAGTCACTGTGGCACAGACTGGACCGCTGGTGAACAGCTGTTAGAACGGGCCTGTCGGAGCGGCAGAGCGTGATGTGCACTGAAAAGTTTTTCTGTCGCAATATTATTTAAGGAATCGTTGAGCTAGCTAACTAGCATACATTGTCACTATCTGCTAACGTTAGCTTTAGCCTTCGTTTTCAAATAGCTTTTTTCATAGGCTATAAACGGAGGTGGTATAAGTATATATCTTGTACTTGAGTGGCGAAGTCACGCCCATCTACTTCCGCCCCATGGGACCTTATTTCGGAAAAATAATGTATTGAAGTCAATGGAGAGAGAAAACTTATCTTTCAATCCCGTTTGAATTGTGCCATGAATTACACATATGATGTTTGTCAATCTTAAAAAATAATTTCCATGTCAAAAAAGTCACAGTTTGTCGTAAAACTGTTGAAATATAAGACTATGAAAAATACGTAACGAGAAAGACTACAAATCCCAGAGTCGCGTAAGTGATGTCACAATTGTTATAGAAGCACTCAGATCTTGTACTAGAGTAAAAGTACTCAGATCTTGTACTTGAGTAAAAGTAGAAGCACTCAGATCTTGTACTTGAGTAAAAGTAGAAGTACTCAGGTCTTGTACTTGAGTAAAAGTAGAAGTACTCAGATCTTGTACTTGAGTAAAAGTAGAAGTACTCAGGTCTTGTACTTGAGTAAAAGTAGAAGTACCAGAGTGTAGGAATACTCTGTTACAGTAAAAGTCCTGCATTCAAAATGTTCCTCAAAAGTAGTGATTGTGCAGATTGGTCCATTTCAGAATAATATATATGATATGTTTTATAATGATTGATCATGAAAGTGTTCTCAAAGCTGGTAAAGGTGCAGCTAGTTTGAATGACTTTGTATACTGCAGGGTAGCTTGTGAATTTACTCCAGGTGGAACTAAAGTCTGATTTAACAAAAAAGTACACCATTTACCTCTGAACTGTAGAGGAGAAGAAGAACAAAGTAGCAAAACATTGAAATACTTAAATAAAGTACAAGTATCTCAAAATTGTACCCAAGTATAGTACTTGTTGAGTTTATGAACTTAGTTACTTTACACCACTGGCTATAAAGATAGAAAGACTAAGCCTTGCACAGAGGCATGAAAATACATTTTCAAAATGCTCAACAGTGCTGCCAAAATTATAAACTGACTGCTACACAATTAAAATAAATGCTTTTATACATTTCTATTAGATGTGACTCTTTGGCATTTCTATTATTATTAACTGCTTTAGTTGTTCTGACTGCTAAAATCCTCTGTTATTCCTAATTTTAAAGCTGATATTCCGTGGGGTCGGGGGGCTCGGATCCTTGTCACCTTTTTCATACCTGATGAGTTTGCATTCCTGGTAATGGATCCAGCAATAAATCAAATGTTTTTATTGCTACTCCATGAATAATTAATACGAAGGCTATTGATCATATAAAAGGTCTGGAACATGTGTTGTGGTAAAAGACATCATGAAATTCATCATTGTATCCTGTTTTCAGTTCAAACCATCTCAATCTGTTTTCAAACTTCCTGACCAACTTTAGTGTTCTATGTTTTGTGTTTTTTTGGCCCCGAAAACCACTGTGAGAGCTGTGTTTGTTTCTCCTGATTGTTGAACCACATCTGGAAAAACAGAAGGAATGCAAGTGATTTGACTGCAGTGTAAACAATTGTAAACACAAGTTTAAAGAAAGCCATTTTTTTTTAGCGTGTGACCTGTAAGGGATGAAAGGAGCTATTACTCTCATTTTGCCTGGTGGAGGAGAGGGGGTCTTACTGTGGATGAACTGTGGCTTGTCTTTATTTAAGAGGTTTTACAGTGCTGGAATCTGAAGGCAGGTTGGGGGCTGTTGGTCTTCAGCCTCTCCCACTGTCCTAACCGGGGCTTGGCACGCACCCAGATGGACAGAGGGGGGGTGGAAAATCAGGCCTGAGGTATGCCTGGAGGAGTGGGAGAATTACACCCTGGATTTAAGTTGAGGCCCGGTGAGATATGGCCAGAGTCCAGCATTCATTAGAAACCCTGATCCTGCTTAGACATGCACGCCTGCACACTGCTGCGCTCTGACTGTGGGAATAATGGACAATGGATGTTTTTGATACTCCCAGGCTGAGATGTTTCCACTAGAGCTACATGAACCAGAAGCTCACACTAACATCTGTCTCTTCATCATTACAGGCCGGACCTGGACCCAGTGGAACCTGCTGGCAGAAACAGAAACTCCATGATTGCCCTGGGCCACCACAGCCAATTGGATTTCCCTTGGCTACAATAAACATCCAGGTAGTGTGGACTTCTTCTGTAATGATTCTCTAAAGCACAGAGGAAGAAGTGCTATCAGGCTTTGGTTTGAGTATGCACACAAGTTTGTTTAAGACAAGAAAAACAGAGACTTTTGTGTTATTACAATATCTGATTTCATGTAGTTTCATTTCACCAGTACCTGCACATCACAGTGTATACGGCTAGATTATTGATGAGTACTGAGAAAATGATTTCAGGTTGGCCTCAAGGAAGATCTAGCAAACTGTGACATGTCTCAGGATGGGAAAGCAGAAAGGACCGTGGATATTGACAAGTGTTAGGAAGAACAATTGATGTCCTGAATCTGACCAACCTCTAGAGGAGTTTAGATAAGTAAGAAACTGGTGAAGCTGCTGCTCATTTGAGATGGAAGAAGCTAGTTCAGGTGGCTTCTGATCAGAATGCCTTCTCAGCACCTCCCTTTGGAGCTTTTCCAGGAAGGTCCAACTGAGAGGAGACAGGGTAGGCCCAGAACACACTGGAAATATAATGGCCCAATTCCAAACCGCCCCCTACCCTCTCCCCCTCCGTGACAGAGTGAACTCTGTCTGTAGTCACACTCTCAGCTGGACGAGGCTCCCTTCTTCCAGGTGGAGGGTGTAAATACAGCGGCAAGCTTTGGGATGAACTCCCCTCTCTCCGACAGAAACAAGAAATGCCTAAACTTTCCGTAACAACGGTTTCAAATCAGCATGTTTTGCACAAAAATGTAAAAAATTATTTAGAAAATCGTTTTTATAACCTATTTTTGTTTTTAGATCTGATGTTTATAAGCTGCACATTTTTTTGCAACAGTCCCTGTAAATATAAATAACTTTATAATCAAGTGCACATAGTTACCGTTTTCTAGATTAAAACGGGTACATGATCCTAAGTAAATCAAATACGAGGTAACATGAAGTTGTTCACGTCTGTATGTCGATATTTAAGCGTGTTTCCTGACAGCAGGTGATGCAGACTCTCTGTTGGAGGGCTTGATAACCCACTCCCCCTCACTCCCCCTCTTCACTTATTGGCTTGGAACGGCACTTAATGTGGCGGACCCTCCACTCGAACGTGCATATGGAACAGAAGTCTGTACTGTTAGGGTGTAGGTGGCAGTCTGGAAATAGGCCTATATCTTTTCTGGCGATGGTGCCCCGGAGGATCCCCCAGAAAGAGCTGGTCAACGTTTCTGGAGAGGGACTACCTTTTTTATCCTGCATGGTGGACATGTCCGGCAGTAGGGGACTTGGACTTGGACTCAAGCCCCCGATCAGACCTAAATATGGAGTGTGGACTGGTACTTGGAGAGGTCCCGTGGTGCCCTTGAGCAAGGCACCGGACATCCCCCCACTCCCATTGCTCCCCGGGCGCTGTACAATAGCTGCCCACTGCTCCTAGTACTAGACTCCTGGTACTAGGATGGGTTAAAAGCAGAGGCCAGATGTCACTGTGTTTGCTGTGTGCTCACATGTGTGACCATTAAAGAGGGTTTCATCCCTCCCCCAATATGTCAAAGATGATGTTATTGTCTGGTAACTGAAACCCCTCCACTGAAAATGTGTTTGATCGATGTAGCTTCAGTGGTTTATAACTGCTATGTAGGAAACCTTTTCTGAACTCTCATCTCTCTCAAATCAGGTCCGGTTGGTCTCACATGCGGTCCGCAGAAGAGGAGGACACCATGAAGGTACACAGAGAGGATGGAAGACTGTATAGGAAGATGTGAAGAAGAGAAAGAAGGTAATGAAGAATAAAGAATGGAACAGACTCTGGTGTTAGAGATGATGCTGCAGAATGTAAGGGAGAATGAGAGTGTCAATGTTAAACAAATGAATTGTATATTGCAGTGTACAAGACAAATATAGGTGATGCTAATATTATCTACAGTGTGACATATTTGGACTGCATTATATTTACTGTGTAAAAACTATTTACTAAAATCTGTACAACCCCAACTGTTATGAAACTCACAAACTTTGCATTAGTGTGCTATATGATGTTGTAAATATGTTATATACAATCCGCTTTGTACAGTGTGTAAGTAATGTTTCATAACCAGACTGCATGCGGAAATAAAGTTTATGAAGATTTCGGGAGAAATACACATCTACAGTGTCAGCCCATAAACCCTGATAATAGGAGTTAAATAGAAACATCACTGTCTTGATATAACTAGAAACTGTACTTTACAAGAGGTATGTTTAATGATATGCAGAGCTCGTGTTGAACGTGTTAAGTGCTGTGATTGATCTTTGCCACTTCAGTTCTCCTGCCTTGCTCCAGAGAAGCTGCAGGAGTCATGAGTTAAAGTCCCACACAGGACAGTGAGTAATGCTAGGTTGATTTCACATTAATGCTGTACAAGCTTCGGTTTGCTTCAAATGCAGTTCTTGTCTGACCATCTAACTCAGGGGGGTCCAAACTACGGCCCGGGGGGCAACTGCGGCCCGTTGTCTATTTTGAAATGGCCCTCAGCTAATTCTTAAAGTATAATGGAATATGGCCCACACCTGAAACGTGTGCTTGTCTTATATTGTACTTCTTAAATATAAATGTAAAGACATAATTACACAGTAGTATTCATGTGTTTATAAGCAAACTTTTCAAATAAATTCAGTTCAAGTTGAAAACATGTTCTAACAAATCCCCAAAAAGCCCAATAACCTATTTGCATAACAAGCTTGAAATATACCCTCCTATTTCCACTTATTATAAGCAGTCTGAGGCTTCTGCTTTAAGGGATGAGCTTTTTGTAACAAAATAAATGAAACCCTCTGGAGAGCTGTGATAGGCTGTTTGTTTTCTTATAGCATATTCAAGTATCAAGAATAATTGACCTACATTTGATTGATTTTGCTAACTTATAACTTCACGTATGAGGCGATATACCTCACCTCTAGTGAGGGGCCCAGCCCATCATGTGTTTTTCTGTATGTGGCCATCAGTGTAAAACGTTTGGACACCCGAGATCTAACTGGATCTGAACCCCCCGTGATGAAGCTAGAATTGAGGCATCTGAAACCAACAGGCCAACAACAAAGCAGGAACATACAAAACACTTTGAGACAAAGTGTTCCTAACATTCAGAAAAGATAGAAACACTTTAGATTTTACACATTAGGATGAGATCTAGTACTGTCTGTTACTGATGGAGTGCTGACAGTTGTTCATGGGCGGAGACAGCCACCAGAACTATGGGGTTATTTTTGTGCCTCTATCCTGAGCACGCAATGAAACATTTTGAGCATAGAAAATGTTATTGAGCGCGCAATTGAACATTTTTGAGCACAGAAAAATATATTTTGCAAGCACATCAATTATATTTTGAAGAGAAATTTACTCTCAAGCCCTCTCACTCAGATCTCAGATATTAATTATTAATGCCATAAATGATTGCATACCATTACAGTTTCTTACAAAATTGTGACTCCTCACAATCATGCTTGTTATCAGATGGAAATTGATGACATTTTTTTTCCTATTAAGCTTTTTGAAATCCATGACAAACAGCACAGCCTTGTTTTAGCTAAATTCAATTACATCAGTTTAGAAGTTTTACGAGGCAAAATTAAATAAATAAAAGATAAGAACTGAACCCATCAATTGACTTGAAAGTATGATTCCTATCAAAACTGAAGAACAACCTAAATAAATCATATTTTTACTTGAAAGCCACACATTCATATTCTGTTGAAAACATCAGCAGCTCCCCTAAGCTAAAAGTTATCTTTATTTTCCTGTTTGCTTTTCTCTCTATACTCTCAAAGGTGAAACACTTCAGCTCAGTTAGTGCCGTCCAGAGAAACGTTTTCCATTGACATTCTTAAGGCTTAATGCAACAATGTGCCCCATAGAAAACAGTCTCAACACTTAAAAAGCCAACCCAGCATATATAGTTGGTGAAAAATAATTTACTAGCTCAGTGCTGTTTTACACAGTTTTTTCAGGTGTCCATTTTTAATATTAATTTTTTTGTCTTTTTTAAAAATAAATCCTGTAACTGACTTTCAGGATTCAAAGCAACCTTAATAAAAAAAAAAAACACTCTTGGCAGTTTGCAAGATAACTGCCTCAGACTGTCATAGCACAATGGATGACCAAACATAATTATAAAAAGCAATAAGGACCAGATAAATTATATTTTGGCAGCAAACTTAGTTAGGACAGAAACAAGTAAGTAGTAGCAGCTTTATTGTTTTGGACACACTAGTTTAGTTTCTAAGACACTAACGCCACAACAGTTCAAATTCCACCATCAGATGTGTTATGTATGGAAGCCTGTTTGCGCCACAGGAAAAATAAATAAAAAATCATGGAAGTCAATATATTGACTTAGCTATCAATATATTGACTTACTATCTCAATATATTGACTTAGCTATCTCAATATATTGACTTAGCTATCTCAATATGTAGTTATGCTTCAGTAACACTGAATAGTATAATATTGTACACTAGGTATAAACAAGGTTTTCACTGTATCCTTTAAGTGTTGGATCAGGCAGGTAAAGAAGGGATGTATTTTGCATTTTATAAAAACAAACAGTTTTTGTGTAATTTATATCTGATGTTTAACTGTAGGATGTCAGGCAACTGTTTATGTTTTGTTATGTTATGTTCCAGTATGAATATTGCATCAATATCCACATTTATTTTTCAAATTAAAGTGAAATCAAAATAACATTTGAATGTGTGGTGTATTTTGGTTTGCAGCGTTTATTTGACTCATGTGGCCTGTGGAGTAATAATACCATCAGGGGAAAACTGGTACCTGAAGATGTGCCCTAGACCTAGAGCAAGGCACTATTGCACCTGTGCCGTAAACATGACTATATCCCCATCCCCATCCCCACCCCCACGCAAACACTCAAGCACACTAACCCAGCTAGAATTTTTTTATTCTAAAAACATTCTGAGAATGTTACATTCATTGTTCTAGGAATGTTTTCAGCGAGAAGTTTTCTTTTGGTTCCCAGAACGTTCTTCTGAAAGGTAGGATAACGTTCTCTAAAAACATTCTTAAAATGTTTGGTGATAACATTGTTAGAACATTATGCCGTACTATTCTTAAAACGTTTTCAGCAGAAGCTTTTATTTTGGTTCCCAGAATGTTCTTCTGAAAGGTAGGATAACGTTCTTTAAAAACATTCTTAAAATGTTTGGTGATAACCTTCCTAAAATGTTTTTGATAACATTGTCAGAACATTTTGCCCTACTATTCTTAAAACGTTTTCACCAGAAGCTTTTATTTTGGTTCCCAGAATGTTCTTCTGAAAGGTAGGATAACGGTCTCTAAAAACATTCTTAAAATGTTTTTGATAACATTGTTAGAACATTATGCCCTCCTGTTCTTAAAACGTTTTCAGCTGCAAGTTAAGATTTTGTTATGTTGCCAGAATGTTATTATTTTAGAGAAGGATAACATGCTTTATGTTTAAAACATTATGCAAATGTTCTGTGGTAACAATTTACTACAATATTTTTACATTATTAGAACATAAAGACATAATATTCCTGTAATTGTTCAACTCAAAATTCCTGGGTAACTGGACTGACCACTGTAAATATTGGAATTGGACTATTAACACATGTAAAAGGATGACTCGGAATCAGCTGGTGAAAGTAACATTTGTTTATTAGAAAAGGGGAGCTAGGAGTGGAGGTTGTTTATGGCAGCAGTGGGAAACAGTTGTTCCAGGGTGGAGAGGCCTGGCTGGTCTTGGGAGTGTGGCAGGCCTTGGATTCCTCCTGGGAGAGACACAAAAATTAGTGTGAGGCAAAAGCAGGCAAAGTTGTCAAAGAATATGCTGGCAAAAAGCTAGAGCGGCACGCAACAAACCGTTCACGGCAACAATCCGGCAGGGAATGAGTGCAGGCTGCAGGCTTTCATAGTGTGGCTGATGAGCAGGTTGCAGGTGTGGTTGATTGGAGATTGCTCCCAGCCGTATAGAGCAGACCAGCAGGCAGGTGGGGGGAGAGAGAGACATACACAGTAGAAACAAACACATACAAACACTAACAGGGGTTTCAGGGACGGGCAGTGATAGTCGGTCCGTTCTTCTATATGTCTGTCTTTGGTTTTCTAAGTGTTATTCGATCCATATGACAATAGAGATATGTGCATAAACAACAAAAACACTTGGGGTACAGATGAAGCGTCTTATTTTGGACAGTTTAAAATGCGAGGGTCATGATCGGTTCGTGCACGTTCCGTGATGGCCGGCCGGCCCCCAGTCTGACTTGATACCGCCCCCGTGATAAATACATTTAATTATTGTGAAGCCAGCTGCAATGGATCATTGATCCACCAGGGGGGTGCAGTGGGGTTCCACACTGGAGTCATGTGAAATCAACTTCTTTGTTGTTAAGATCCATATGTCACGGATAGGATCATAGTCTGTGCTAAATAAGACATGTAATCATTTAAATAATGTTGTTTAGTCGGAAAAAACGAACGAGCCGGCTCTCCCGATTTTTAATCCTAATTTAATCATCATCATTGATGTTTATGTTCGCCGAATTGACATGAAATCACTGACAAATATGAATATTCTGTATTCAACTTCATTGAAACGATCAGGATGGGTGTTATTTTCCCCACAATGACCAAGTCGCTGCAAATGATCCCATGTATTACATGTACATGGCCACATTCTCAACAAAGTAACGTAACGAAACATTCTGTATTCCTTGCTTACTTTTATTTAATGCTTTATAACAGCTGGAATAGTTCGTTTAGAACAGGCACCTCACTCGTAATCTGCTCCTCCGCAACGCCTACCACCTACCTCCGGCTGAAATTATGAATGTACAGTAAGGCATAGTAATCATAGATAACACGGCAGGTCCGTTACAGTTTGTTTTCATCTGATTTCAAATATTTCAAATGTCTGAAGTTAATAAATACATTCTCAGTGTTCAAGTCAATAATAGTCATATAAGAAAAGTACTGATCTAATAACAGAGATTTTATAAGGACTTTTCAATGTTCGACATCGCTCATGTGAAATACAGTAAACTGGATGTTGTGGTGCCGAGAGGCGGGGTATCAAAAGTACAAGCTAAACTTTTATTTAGCATCTGAACACACTTGTAAACAACGTGATGCCCGGGAAGCGAAGACCCGGCGGAAACAGCTGGTCTGGTTCACTAAAATGTCCGTGTACAGTATATCTGGTACTAATGTATAGCGGATCTTTGTTAAGATCCATATGACACGGATAGGATCATAGTCTGTGCTAAATAAGACATGTAATCATTTACAAAACATCACCATGTTGTTATGCGCATGTGCGAGATGTTATGCATGTGCGCATGTGCGAGATGGTCCGCCATGTTGCACAACTAAATTAAAAAAAATGTGTTGGTGTATGATCACATTTGTATATGAAAATGTCAGAAGTTAATAAATACATTCTCAATGTTTAAGTCAATCACTGAAGATGCTTACGATATCATAAAATCTAAGTGTTAATGATTGTCAGTAGAGATGGGATGGCAGAAGGTGCTATATATATATATATAATTCCAAAGCTGGTAAAGACCTTTCAAATTTAGCAATAATAGTCATATAAGAAAAGTACTGATTTGTTCTTGAATCAACTTTTTTATGGAAAATGTTTTATGTAATTTTATTTCATTTTAAATAAAATGAAAGACATTCACAGTTAATGTAATTAGATATACATTATTAATGCCATACATTTTTAAATGTAATTAGATATACATTATTAATGCCATACATTTTTGCATAAATATTTATTCAGTATGATAGCTGTCTAACAGAAGTTAAATCCATTTCTCACTTATTCTGACAATGTACTTAACCCCAAATAAAAGAACCCAATAAAAATAGTTGTTAAATAATAGTGAAGTCACGTTGTAATAACAATAACTCATCTCTCTCGGTTTTTTTTGTTTTCTTTGTGTGCTTTGCCAAAAGCCACTGTGTCAAGTGTCCTAGTTGGGTTGCCGTACGGAGTTGAGCAATATGGCGGACCATCTCGCACATGCGCAGTACCGATCGGGCAGGTGGACGGATCAAATAAATCAAAAATAAGCGTTATAAATGAACCCTGACTACTTGTGTTTAGGACTCACTGTATTTTGCTACTCTCTAGGTCTGTGGGCCAAATCCAGATATGGGGGGGGGGGGGGTTCTGTTAGAAGGTGCGACGGGGGAGGGGGGGAGAGAGTTAGACGCTCGTGAATTGTCAACGGGGGGGGGCCTCTCTGCACGGAGGAGCCGCGGAGAAGTGAATCACAGTGATCTCATAAACATATGACCAATGTGCGAGGGTGATGACATCAGAGCATCGTCCTATGGGCTTAGCCCCGGACAGGTACAACAGGTATTCACTCAGAGGGGGGTAGTTACCCATTTACATGTCAAAAAGCAACAAACAGTGGGCGGGTGGGGGATGGTGAACGTTTACATTTATCTACAGAACACATTTAATTTAAGGGGAGCAGTTACTGAGAAGTATATAATGAGAACTGCTACCAATGGTGGCCTATTTAGTTTATTAAGAAATACATATTTGTAGCTTTTTTTTTATCTGCAGTAGGAAATGCAGAGAGTAGCGACAGGGCTGGTCCAACCTGATCTGTAAAGTGATCTAACTAAGTGCTATTCATTTTCTTGACGGGGAAGTGCAGTGTAAATGGGGGGCTTATATGCATTTGAAAAGCAATATAAATCACACAGTTCGTATACAATAGGCATTAAAAGCACCATCGATAACCATTGCCCTTCTCCTATTCAAACCAAAAGAGAAAATGCAGATATTACACTCTGAAAAGAAAGGGTAGACATATCTGTACTCTTAGTGCCAAGTAGCTAAGCTATTCATTCGCAGAAATGTAAAGTGATCTATCTAAGTTCTATTCATATTCTTGACGGGAAGAGTTAGTATACAATAGAGTTAGAGTTAGTATACTTTAAAAGCCTTCTCCAAATCAAACCAAGGTATTCACTCAGAGGGGGGTCGGTGAACCGGGCAGAGTTTTTCGCCGGTCAACGTGTGTGAAAGTTTAAAGTTTATCATCTAAATTT